AGCTGATTTAATTTGGCCCAGTTCTTTACATCCAGCTGCTCCGGGGCCCAAGGCTGCCTGCCGTTCCTGTTATTTACTTCGTTCCAGGAGAGCCGGGCCAACTTGGCACAAGCTCTGTGCTCTGTAAACCTAAGTAAGACGGGTGTTTGCATTCCTCAGAGACCATCTCTTCTTAAAGATCTGGATGGAAGGCACACCAGTTTGCTAGGGCCGCTGTGCCACAGACTGTTTTTTTGTTTGTTTTTTTAAAATATATTTTATTGATTTTTTTACAGAGAGGAAGAGAGAGGGATAGAGAGTCAGAAACATCGGTGAGAGTCAGAATCATCGATCAGCTGCCTCTTGCACACCCCCTACTGGGGATGTGCCCGCAACCAAGGTACATGCCCTTGACCGGAATTGAACCCGGGACCTTTCAGTCCGCAGACTGAGGCTCTATCCACTGAGCCAAACCGGTTTCGGCAGACTGGGAGTTTTAAACAGCAAATGTATTGCGTCCCAGTCCGGAGGCGGAAGTCTGGAATTGACTGTGGGCAGGTTGGTTCCTTCTGACGCGTGAGGGAGACTCCATCTCATGTCCCTCTCCTAGCTCCTGGCAGCTGCAAGCACGGCCAAAGTATCCTCCCTGCGTCTTCATACCATCCTCTCCCCTCTGCACTCCTCTGTCTCAGAGTCCAAGGTTCCCCTTCTCGAAAGCACCCTAATGAGCTCATTCACAACGCTAGAGACCTGGTGGATGCAATTCATGCAGGTGGAGGGGTGGGGTCCCTCAGTCTGGCCTTTGCCCTCTCGCAATCCAGGACCCCTCAGGGGATGTCAGGCCTAAACCGGCAGTCGGACATCCCTCTTGCAATCTGGGATGCTGCATGCACCAGTGACCATACTTTTCATACCAGGGAAAGGCATCTTGCTGTTGTATGAGCAGCTACATTTTTTTGCCCTGATCATAAAAAGTAGTACATAACATGATCCTTCTGAGGCAGTAGTACCATTTTCCCTGCCTTATGGGTGGAAAAACTGAAGCAGAGAGAAGTTAAGTAATTGGCTTTGTCACACAGTTTTAAGTGTCAGAATCAGGGCTGACCACAAAACGTGCAAGCCAGAGTCCATGCATGTTATCTCTGCATCATCCTGTTTTTTCACTGTTAGAGTAACCTTGCCAGGTTTTAATTAAATCTAAGAGACTGTTCCCAATATATAGGGTAGGGTCTCTAGGCCTGGCTGGTGATGAGGGCCATCTGCAGGGCGACCAGCAGGCAGGGCGATCGGGGGTCCCCACTGGCACCTGCCTTGGCTGGTTGCCTGCCACCTGCTCCATGATCACTGCGGCTGGTTGCCTCCCTCTTGGTGGGCGAGAAGAAGGGAGGGGAGGGGTGTGAAGCTCAAGGCATTGAGTGTCTGCCCCATGGTGGTCAGTATACATCATAGAGACCAGTCATTCCCGTTCTGTTGATTTGCATATTAGGGTTTTATTATATAGGATCATTGTCTTTATAAAGACCCGATTTCTGAATCCACACTCTACAATACTGGGGTTAGGACTTCAAAATATCTTTTATGAGACATCAATCTTACCCCTAAGGCCAGGTGCAGAGCTTTCCCTCTGGAGGGAGAGTGGAGGCCAGAGCAGGGCTGATTCCTGGCTGCTCAGACCCTGAGGGTGGAGGGCTCCCCCAGGCAGCAGTGACCTGTGATGGGACCCACTCATTGCCTGGGTCTCTGTCCCCTGCCCTTGGAGCTCCAGGCCTGCCTTTAGCTTTGGCCACTTGTGAGCTTTGTGTCATTGACTAACTCTCCACTCCAAATCCAAAAAGTACCTATTTTATACCTATTTCCCTATTTTATACCTATTTCCCTTTTTATTTATTTATTTTTTTTTAATATCCCCCAAGTTTTGTTTTTCTTTACTGTGAGGACTTATGGGTGTCCCTCATCAGTTCCCAAGAACGTCAGTTTGTAGTTTGTGTTTTGTTCTTCCACCTCCAGGGTGGACTCAGAGAGGCAGGCACACAGCCCACGTGCTGTGAGGCAGGGTGGTGAGCACGCAAGGACCCATCTTCCGGGGAGCCGGAGAACACTTGGGGAAAGTGTTACAGCAGATCCCAGATAGAAACAGGCAGTTACAGTGACAGTGTGACAAGGCTTTATGGAAGTAAATGTACTACATTTGACTTTATAAAATACATTTTTACCAAAAAATTTCACAGTTTCCTCTAAATTGGCTTTGGGGATGCTGTTGACAGATAGTCTGAGAACTGCCAGTCTGAAATAGAGAGCTATTCCAGAGAGCGGGCCCAGGGGAGGAAGGGGAGGGGGAGAGGGCTGTGTCTTCAGCTCGCTCCACCCCTGAGCATGCACCATGCTCTCTGAGGGACCCCGCCCCCACCTGCATGAATTATGTGCAGCAGGCCTTTAGTGTTGTGAATGAGCTCATTAGGGTGGGTCCTAATCCAATGTGCTAAAAACAAGCTGTGGCTGCCCATTGCTCCCCTGGTTGCAAGCCTCATGGGGTCCCTTAGAATTTAAGGGATGCGTGTAGTGGAGACTCACTTGCCACTGACAGCGTTCCTCTGCTTATCTCTGTCCCTTTGGACTGTCTGCCGATGTTCCTGTTACCTGACATGGTCCTCGTCCTGAGCATATCTGCCTAGGGCCAGCCGGCAGAGTTCTGGACTTGGTGTAGGGAAGATTTCACACACGAGCCCAGGTGATTAAAGCTGTGAAAGGCTTAGCATAGAAGAAGCAACAGGAGAGCCTAGGGTAGGCTGCCTTAGCTCCCTGGGAAGTCAGAGAAAAAGGGGGCCTTGGAGACAGGTTCCCGGGGGGTTGGTCTGGGAGAAGCCACCGCTGCCCATTGCTCCCCTGGTTGCAAGCCTCATGGGGTTCCTTAGAGTTTAGGGAATGCGTGCTGTGGGGGAAGAAGAGGGGAAAGGGAATGGTGTGGGCTGCTCTCCGAGGAGATTGTGTACTGGGTCTTTGTCTTGAGGCTTTTATCTCTCTTGCAGGTGGGAATCTTAGGGGAGGGTCTCAGCAGAATATTCATCCCTTTTCCAGGCATGTTCATTCAGGGCCATGGTCTCTACTGATTGGTCAGAATCAGGGCAGGGGGTCATTGGTCATTGCAGCTGGTCCTGGTGTCACCCACCTGGTTTGCTGCTTTTCTGGATCTGGAGCTGAACAACAACTGAGGCCCAGATGTTCTCTCTAGGAGGTGGCCTGCATCTGCTGTAGAGTGCTCTGCCAGCTTGTTCAGCTCTGTCTCAGCTTCCCTGTTCCCCTGGGCCTGGCTCATGCCTGTCCCTGGGGCCCTCTTTTGTCCTGCATCCCTCCATAGACACACATCCTGCCTCCCCTCACGGCCACAGCCACACGGCTTCAGAAGAACAGCGGGTTTTGCTTCCTCGTTAAGTCAGCTAATGTGTGAGGTCGGGGCCACGGCTGTTCTCTTTTTCTTTTTTTCTTTTTTTTAAATTTTTTTATTAGATTATTATCTTTGTAACCATGGCTGTTTTCATCCAGCCTGGCATCTCCTATGGGCACACTGAGCGCATCCTGCCACCTGGCAGGTACGCACGGAAGGGAGTTCTGCACGAAGGGGGAGCCGCGCCCAGGAGGCCTGTCTGCTGCTCCTGCAGGGGTTGGGTCGGCAGCGGCTGTGGTGACACTGGAGTTCCACAAGAGTGACTCCCGGACACTGAGAAGCAGGCTTTCCCTCTCTGATAGTTGGTATGGGATGAATGGCTGGTCCTCTCACAATGGGCCAGCATTCATCTGCCCTCATGTGTGCTGCTCTGCAAATGCTCCTGGCCTTTCCCATGTGCTAGTGTTTTCCGAGGGCAAGAGCTGTATCTCCTCCTTCCTTTCTTTTAAACCACTCCCCGCAGCACCGGATAAGAGCTGCACGCGGGGGTAAAATTCGCCTGTCTCCTCCTCCTCTGAACCTCCGCCAGATGCAAACATGGTCCGGAACCCAAGGGCCTTTGCAGAAGACTGACGGCACACAGGCCTTGATCTTGAGGACTGTACAGTCAAAAAGGGGTGAGCTCTCAGCTCAGATGCAGCCAATAGCAACTCAGGGCACAGAGCCCACTGTCTGTTCCCTCAAGCCCATCACAGGACGGAAGCGGTGACGTGGGCCACCAGATGCTCAGCCCAGAGTCAGACTGGCCTGTGACTCCCGTCTCCGCCCCCGTCAGCATCTTCTGTTATTTCAGCTCCAAGCCTCCGTCTCTTCTCCTGCAATGTCAGCATAAAAAGGCTGTTACCTGCGGGGGCCTGTGCCCCTGTGGATAGCACCCTCCTCTCCTGCCTGTGTTCTGAAGCGATGAGGCTTAGGAGCCAGGAGCAGCAGGAAGTGGTGGGTACAGCCCGTCGTGACGGAGGCAGGGCTGGCAAGTGGATGGGTGGCTTTGGGGCTTCCACCGGGAGTCTAAGACAGCTGGCTGCTTCCGCCAGTCTCGGGCTGGTTCGAACCACCGGTGTCCTCCAGGGAAAGACTGTGCAAGCTTGGGTTTGGATGGTTGAAACAAAAGCATTGACTCCTCTGGTTCCCAGGGGAAGTGCTGGGCCTCACACATACCACAGGAAATAGATAGTTACTGAACGGTTAACTAAGTAGTTACTCTCCTCCCCAGGAGGAACGTGGGGCAGCTGAGAGGGACCAGACATGCTCCACTCGGGACAAGGAAACGTGGAAAAGCTGCTTCTGCTGGGGGGGAAAAGGGGAGATACGTCTTTGTGGAGGCTGTGGGACTCCAAGATGTGGTTCCAGACGAATACCTTCATTTTAGCACTTATTAAGCCAGCTTCCCAGTGCTGCTGCAGCAGTTTTAGATATGACTATGCGCCTGGGAAAACGTGTCTCATTCAGTGTGCTGTACCCGAGACAGCTCCGCACTCCCCGTCTTTGCCCTGTGCACACGGAGGGCACGGCTGTTCCCTGAGGAAGCCCAGTGGGTGCTTGCCCGGCTGCCCCTAAGGCCTGTCCTCTCTCTCTGCAGTGCAAGATGGAGTTCCAAGCCTGTTCCACTGGCAAGAGCCTCAGCACCCTCTGTGACGGGCCCTGCCCATGTCTCCCGGAGCCCGAGCCTCCGAAGCACAAGGCAGAGAAGAATGGTGAGTGGGTCGGGGGGAACCCCTGAAGGAGGGCGGGTGGGCAGGGATGGAGGGCATGGCCAGCTCTGCCCAGATGCCAGCCCTGTGGTGTTTATCGGAGCCCCAGAGCAGGTCCAGCCCAGGCGGGGAGAGGGGCTTACTTGGCAAGTACTGCGGCTTATTCGGGGACTCTCACCTGAACTGCCTTCAGCACCATCAGAAAGAAGAGCTGGCGTCTTTGAATTCATTCTGCTGGTCCAAGATACGCACTAGGTTCTTTGAGAGGTTGAACTGGCTCGAGTAGGAAGGGCAGGTTTTCAGAATCTAAGTCCAGGGCCTTCCCTGGGGTACATCTTGGTCTTCCTTGAACTCTATTCTGCATCCTTTGAACTTCTCAAGGCCGAATTTCAAAACAGAGACTGCAGAGGTGTCATAACGGCGGAGAGTCTTCCCCTCCACAAGCATTTCCCTATTCATGCATTCTGCTTGCAGACAGCACAGACCCAGGGGACACATGCAAGGGGCAGCCTCCCCAGGCAGCTGTTGCCCTCTGTGGCCGAGAGCAGAGGAAGCGTGGGCTTGTGTGGATGTGTTCATGCTGGAGAAAGTAGTGCCATCCCACTGGGTGCGCTTATGAGCTGCGATGCTGGGGAAAGCGGCTCCTCGTGCTGTCCGGCTCTCTTTGGCACCCACCCTCGTGGAGCGTTCACATCCCCAGTCGGTTGGCCTTCGGTGCTCATCTTCACTGCATCCAGTGGGAGATGCTTGAGATCCCATGCCTGGGAAGGCCATCCTGCACCCTCTTTCTTCTGTGTCCCACTCTTGTGGGTTCCCTAGTCCTCACACAGCCCCTCTCTGGCCCCCTTCACGGTCGCAGAAAACTTGAGGATGGCCTATGACCTAGTGTCAAGAAAGACAGTGGTAAGGCTTCCATCCCAGGCTCCGTCCTTGGGTCTGCTGGGCAGCCATGTCTATTCTATGCAGAGGATAGTTTGGCAAGGCTTGGCCCCAGTTAGATTCCATACCAGTAGCAACCCACAGTTAGTTTCCATATCTCCACTGCTGGGGTTTCACAGGTGCCTCTTCTCTGCCCGGGCCCCGAAGATGGGCCAGAGACAGGGAGAACTGGGTCAACAGAACCTTTCCCAGGGACTCACCTGCCTCTCTGTTCTTCTTCTTCTTCCCAAAATGTCACTCTTGTAGCCCCAACCTTGATCGGTACTGGGTGTGATTGCGGGCAGGTCTGACTCATTCCCTCTGAATCCTGTAGACATCTCTGCCTCTTCCTGCCTTGGCTTTAAGTTTCAAGACTGTTTGGGGGAAATCAAAACCAAGTGGCTGATTTTCTTTTCTTCTCTTTGTTCTTTCTGGCATCTCCCCTTTGATGTGGTGCCTGAGGACATGGTGGATGGGGTGGGCATCTTTTAATATCTCTGAATATTTCCTCTCACATCTCTAAATTAACTCATGGCTTTAGACAAGTTGCTTAATTGCTCTATCTCTCTTATCTTTATGATAACAGTACAGCCTCAAGAGTATAGAGTAATGAATTGTCCTAAAAAAGAAAAAGAAAAAGGAAATGTCTGAGGTACTCATTTCCTGGTTAGATTTCCTGAGAATCTGAGGGGAAAACAGAGGTCTCTTATGATTAGCATCTTTAAGACACATTTTTAAACTAGCAAACGCCTCTGCGCTTTCAGACCTGAGCTGTCCCACCTACCCTGCCTCTCTTCGGCTTCCTCATCAGAGAAAGACCCTTCCGCTTGGCTCCGTCAACCTAAAGGAAGGGTTCCGTGCTCCCTCACGGCTGATGTGAGAACTTCCCAGTAGGAGAGCAGACGAGGGAAGATCTTACTCACCTTCTTCCACACCATGTGGAGGGGCCCACGTGTTCCTCCAAGGGGCCTCAGGTTTCCCATGAGGTCCAGAGTCTCCAACCTCCCTGCAGACCCCATTTTATGATTTCCTATGTTAGATTGCATCTGTAGGAAACGAGTTTGACCACCAGTGATGCTTGGTCGGTCCTTGTTACAGCAGAGGAAACTGGAAACCCACCGACAGAAGGAATCTTGCCTGCAGTGGAACTGGGGTGGAGCCTGCTCCTGGACCTCAGCCTCATGCCTTCGTTCCCACTGTGTGCACACCCTGGGTCACGGTCCGAGGCCACCAGCCTGAGATGGTGCAGGGGCTGTAGCTGAGTTTGGTGGGAGATAGATTTAATTTCTGCAGGGTCCGATGTAACTTGCCTGGATCTTGAAGTGTCAATCATCAGGCATGGACTGTCACTGTGTTCCCACAACAGCGATGCTTTGAATGACATCGGGGAGGAAATGGAGAGGGCAGCACCATCTCTAAGGACAGCTCCTTCTTTGCTTCTGAGGCATAGGCTAGCTTTTAGGGAGCCAGCCACCCCCAAGTTCTGGAGAGGCTGTGGAACTGTACCCCTTTCTTGGCCTGACCTGTACCGCCAGCCAGTGGAGCTGTTTGGAACGGTAGAAAAATAGCCGTAGCCCATAGTGACTTTCTTTTCTCAAGTGGTGATTTCAGCCTCAGGCCTAGATCCTGGGGGGAAGTCCCCAGTGACAGCTGGTCGTCTAATTCCATTACTTATCACAAGCGAAGTTAGGAAGCGTGTTTGAATAGGAACAGGAGGTGGTGCCAATGAGCAGAGACGGAGCCCTTCCTCCCTGAAACATCTCGGTGGAAAAATCCCAGAGCGCTCTGCCTGCCCAGGAGCACCCAGAGAATGAGATGCCTCTCTGCGCCAGGAAGGAGCATTCTTCTCCGGTGGCTGTTGTGTAACAGTTCATATTAATCTTTCCATTCGGCTTCGTTCACTTATTCAGTACCGCGTTTTGGTCAGAAATTAAACTTACCAAGGAACATTTAATTTTTTGGTCTTGTTATTCTAAATGTCATTATTTTTTTTTTTTAAAAAAGAAAGCCTCAGGATTAAATTGGCAGCTGCATCAAAGAAGAAAACCTTCCTGCTCAGGACTTTGAACTCAGGTTCCTCCGCTTCTGTGAATTCTGCTCCGCAGAAGCAGACCTAGGGCCTCCTGGTCACCGAAGCCGCTTGATATACTAGCTGATGGGAAAAGCTAAAGGTGAAAAGAAAGAGAAGGGTAAACGGAGGCCGTGGTGGCCACGGTGTAACTGGAGTCCAGAGGAGGGAGTAGAGATTTGTGCTTGAAATTAACGGCTTTGATAGTTCACCCAAACAGGCCTCTTCTCATGCTGTTATTCTTTACCTTATAATTTTATATTTTCTTATATAAAGTTCAAATATTATGGCAAAAATGGACTCATATTCCCAAGTCCATTAGCTTTTTGTCGCATATGCTTCCAATTATTTTTGACATACATATACTAACATACTTTTTAAACTTTACTCATACAAAATAAGACTCATGCTCTACGTACTGTTTTATACCCTGTCTCTTTTATATGTCAAAGATATGCTTTCAAATAGATACTGACAGGTCTGTCTGTGTCCGTCTGTCTGTCTCCCTCCCTGTGCTCCCTTGAACTCCACACTTAAACCTGTAACGACTGCTCAGTGTTTCCATTTGGGCGCCCATGGGGTATCAAGCTTAACATGTCCACAATCAAACGCCTGGTGTTTCCCCCATGTGTTTCTTCCTCCTGCAGGATTTATTAATGGCGGCTCTGCGTTTCGATTAGCTAAAGTAAAACAATCACAAAAACTCTCTTGTTCTCAAATGCCACATATAATTACGTTGGCTCTGCTTTCAAATTGACTTTCAAACACTAGTATATCCTCTTCTCACCACCCCCACCTCCCTTGTGGTCCAAGACACCTCATCTTTTATTTTAATAGCTTCCTAATTAATCTCCCGGCCCCTTCTTTCTATTTTGAGCAAAGTAAACCAATTCTGTAAAATGTAAGTCAGAGTGTGTAATCCCTTGTTCCAGCGATTTCCCCTCTTCCTCTTCATAAGAGGAAAGGTTAAAATCCTTTCAATGACCTGTAAGGCCCAACATGATCCCTAGGGTCTCTATCCCCAGCTTTTGTTATTATACCACGTGCCTACTCACTGCAGGCACCCAGGCCTGTGTGGATCCCTCGATGTGTCCATCACACTCCTGTTTCTGGGCTTTGCATGGACATCCCCTCAGCGTGGACCGCCTTCCCAGCTCACCCCCTCTGAAAACTCTGCACAGTGTGACCTTCTCAGTCCACCCCTGACCCCCTGCTCCCAGCATGTCTATCCCCCTTCCTTCCTTTACTTTTCTCTTCACCATGTAACACCTTCTAATCTGCTAGATAACTCGTTTACTCATTTTATTTTTTGTCTGTCTTGCCCAACTAGAATGGAAGTTTCTGAGGACTTTTTGTCTGAATTTTAAATAATTGTCAAAAATAGACAAATATTCCACCTTCATTCTTTTTAAAGGGTTGTCTAACATTCACAACATTGAAAATGGCCCAAAACAGAAAAAGATGTATTGTAACAAGGGATAATCTGTATAAGGTGCTTAGTATGTGCTATCAGCTTCGTTATACGTTTGACTCTTCTAACAGCTGAATAATGTCACCTGTGTTGCTGAGAAAATGTGAGATTTGGAGCATTTCTGCCCCTTGACAAGGTCACTCAGCTCCTCAGTGACAGTGCAGGCTTGAGGCCTTCCCTAGAGTGCGTGCTGGTTACCTCATGTCTGCTGAGCTCTTAAACTGAGTGGGATGCCCACTGAGAGGGTGGGCCGCCTTTGCAAAAAGAAACACATACACACATGTACATGCCCACATTTAAACTAATTTTTACCATTTTTTCAGTGCTCACAGAATGCACCCCTCTCCTGATAACACAGCCCTCTCCCAGGGGGTCTCTCCAGGGAGAGAATTGAGGACCTCGCTCCCTTTCTCCTTTCTTTCTGAGAGCATGCTTGGCTCTGGAAGTTTATCAGAGCACTGGCCTGGGCTCATCACTCACCACCACGTGATGTTCTCTGATAGCCACCAGTTCCCAACCTCGCTCCGCTCCTCAGAGATGAAAATC